TTTATTGTAATTAAAAAAAAAAAAAAAAAAAACATTCAAGAGTACTGAAGTCGCTACAGAGGTAGGACTTGAATGACTATATAACTTAAGCATTATATCACAAATGTTTTATGGTACTGGCCACCAAATGCTAAATTAACTCAAAAGCTACTCATAAATTCTCCCTTCAGATAAGTCCTATGACACTTTTCAGTCTTGGTACCCTCCGTGCTTTTAATCTTCAGAATCGGATCTGAATCAAAAGTTAAATAAAAAAGCAATTCTCTGTGGACATGGGGAAATGAAGTTCCCACTCATGTGAAATATGGCTTAAGATACAAATAAGACTAAAATCAGACTAACCAAATAAGACTAAGCACCAAAACTCAAGGGCATGTTAGAACTAAAGTCAAAGGAGTCCAGAAACTTTTCAAACTGAGAAGATTGAGTTGGATTGAAATTCCAGTCCCTCCCTAAAGACTTGGCAACCTTTTCCAGATCAACCGAAACTAGGCAGAAGGGACATCTGGTCCTCCAGAAAGGGTCTGAACCTGAAGAGAAAAATACAGATTAGAGCAGATTAATATTGTCATGGATAGAGAGACAAAAGGGAGAGAACCAGAAAAATTAGGATCATCCACCTACGAACAAACATCAATACTATCCGAAAAGAAAGGAGGACAGGGAAGTAAAGGATATGTTGGACTGTCCCCAAGGGGAGAGGTGCTAAAGATTCTTCTCAGAGTTTAGTAATAAAAACTACATGTTAAACCTCAATATACACCCTAATATTGAGAAATAATTTTCTAAGCCTTGATAGGCTGTGGGTGTCATCTCAGGAACAGGTTTCACTGTGGCCCTAAAATCAGTTAAGAGCAACGTGTGGCATCTACTTAACTTCTAGTCCAAGTATGCAGAGTTAATGGATGAGATAAATGGGGGTGTAAACTCATGCTTAACCCATAAAGCCTTGGGTATGATCCCCAGCATAAATCAGTAAATAAAAACAGTAGTGAGATAATGAAGTAAAATCAGTAGGTGACTGAATTATACGTTCTATACTAGAACCTTACAGTTCTGAAGAATTTCATTCAAAACCAAGCTTAGTGCCAGGCCTGGATGGTGCATGTCTGTAATCTTGACACTGGGACGACAGAGGCAGGAGAACCCAGAGTTCAAGGTTAGCCTGGATTCCACAGCAAGATTTTGTCTCAAAATATCACTATAAGCCTAAGTGCTCTCTCACAGAGCACTTGCTTAGCCTGCTCAATCCCAGTCCTGAAATGTAAATAATAAATAAAATCAAATAATTAATGAGTAAAGCCAAAACATAGAACAAAATCAGACTTTGTTGTTATTAGCAACAGCACCAAGAGTGGTAGCAATGATAACAGCTAGAATAATAGCAACAGTAATATCAATGGTAATCATGATACCATCACTCAAACAATACTTCCTAAGCACCAGGTACTAAGTATTTTTTAGCATGTACATGTGCATGTGGTGTGTGTGTGTGTGTGTTCCCCTGTGTGTGGAGATACCTGTGTGCAGGTGGGGGTATGTGTGCATGTGTATGTATGCTTGTGCACATGGAAGTCAGAGGCTGACATCAGGAGTTGTCCTCCTCACTCTCTACTTTGTTCTTTGAGACAGTGTCTCCCATCTGAACCCAGAGCTCACCAATATGAGTTAGTGTCACTAGCCAGCCTACTTGGGAATTCCCGGACTCTTCTTTCCCAGCTATGGAATTACAGGTGGGCTGCCACACCCACCTGGCATTTAAGTGACTTCTGAGGTTCCAAATTTCAGTTCCCATGCTAACCTGGCAGACACTCTGACCACTGAGCCATCTTCCCAGCTCATATTCTAAGCATTTTAAATATATTAACTTATTAAATCTTCCAGTACTCCTGTGAGGTCAGATGTTATTTAGTGTCCCATTTTACAGATGTTTTCAGCAATATCCCTTTGTTATTTTGTTGTTAACAGCTTCAAGCATCTTTCAAAGAAAATATCTGGAAACATAAGGACAGGAAAAGCAGTCTGCCCAAGGTCACTTAGCTAGAAGTAACAAACCTGGGACACCACCCAAGAAAGTTGGGCTTTCAGGCCAGTGCAGAGCCCTCACTGCCCCCTGCCTAAGAAAACCCTCTATACAAGGAAAACAATAGGAAGTTAGACCTGCCTCTGCCTGCTGATAACCAATTAATCCTTGAACTTTGTTTCTCCCCTTAAGAGTTTCCCAAACCCACAGTAAGGCCTTCAGCCTGCTCCTGCTGCTATAAAAAGCCACTGGAAGTATAGCCCAGCTATCCCCACCCAGTCTGCAACCATGGCAAGCTTCATTAGAGCATTCACCTTTGGCAGCTAAGGCAGTAGTTGGGGTGGAGGAGGTAAGAGCCTGTTTCCCAGACCACATTTCCTGCCCAGTAACACTGGCCTCAAATAGCCAAGGCTGCAGGCCGAGAAATTCCTCGCTAAGAACCTATGTCCTGGAGCTCACTCCCAGAGCCTTAATTGAGAATGTAAGTTCTCTGGCCAGCCCCTGACCCAAGGAAGCTGGGAATTGAGGAAGACAGATGAGCAACAAAGTTTGTTTATTAACCTGCTGCACCCAAGGGAACATTTTTCTGAAAGGGTGAAATTCCTGACTGTTCAAAAAAAAAAAAGAAAAAGAAAAAGCCTGTGGGAAATTTAATCACCAACAGAACAGAAATGAAAAACAAAGCCCTCCCAATGAGGATGTTGTCAGAGACAATGGGCCCCTAACGGAGATTCAATTGTCTCAAGATAAGAATCCCTGGGGAAGCAGCTCACACTAAGAATCACATTATTGCTATATTAGCCCAGTTCACTGGGCAACTGTGTGCAAAACCATCTGTTACAGGCCCTGGGCTCTCCTTTTGCGGACGTGGCATTTACATTTCAAGAGGAACCTTTGGAAAGAAAGGGGGATGCCGCTATATTTCCTCAGAGCAAATACCTTTTTATACGGCCTGGCAGGGGAAACTCCCCTTTGGATGAAACCCAACTCCACTGGTTGAAAGGAGATAGGCCACTTCAATAATGCACACAGCGTGCCTAGCAGCCTGGTCCAAAAGCCACGCACACACTACTAAAGGTCTTTACTTTCTTGGATTGATCTAAGGGGCAAAGTACCAAGAATCATAACTGTTCAGGGCCTAACCAGGCTCTACTTTCTTAAGAAACCGTGTCTTTTCTCTTAAGCTGATGTGAAAGGTAATGCTCTGAACTGAATATTTAGCCTGAAACACCATTTAAAACACAGCCCGTGGCTGGCAAATGCTTTGCACATCTTGATTTGGGGGGTTGGGTATAGTAATATGTACACATATACCAAGACTCTTAGAATTCAGATTTGCGCATATGTAATCTACACCACAATACACTTTTAAAGGCAGAGTATGTCAATATCACTCTCAACTAAAGAAACTGGGCATCAATCACTTGCCTTTGAGAACCGTAAGGCTATTTTTCCTTATATAGCTTCCTTTGACCCCAAACACATTCAAAATCTCTCTGGACAATTTTCAAGTTCAAGAACCTGGAAGATACAGTCATTCAACTCTCCACTACCACATTGACTACAAACATCTCCTGTGGAGCCTGTGAGCCCAAGACACAAAGGGAACACCTGTCACACTCCAAGTCTTCCAGACACACATCAAATGTGTCTTTTTCTTTTCAGATGTCTTTTTCTCATCTGGTGCTGAGCTATACAGTTACAAAAGACATGCCCACCTGGGCTTTTAGCAACAGTGTCTAGTTTATTCTTCTGTTTCCTTAACTCCATTTTAAATAGATGTTTCTGAACTCTGAGGAACATTTGCTTGGCTCTCAAAGGTGAGGGCCTGTGGCTAGAGCCTTCCAGCAGTAGTCAGGTTGGAATGGTTTCTGTGGGCAGCTGAAGGTTTAAATCTGCAGCTTTATCAACCTTAACAGCAAAGGAAATCCATGGTGACCCGAGGGTGGGGGTGGGGTCGCTTAAGTGAGAATCTAAGTACTAAGACGTTTCAACCTGGCTAGCCATGACTTAGCGGTACACTTCTTTGAACCAAGGCCAAAAGGGCTGCGTGCCATTGGGCCAAATTTACCTTCTACAAACCATAAGGCCATCCATTGAAATAGAGGCCCCTTGTGAGGATCACAGGGGGTCACCTTCACCACTCCTGCCCTCCACGCCTCCTTGTCCCCAAAAGCCCGGTGGTTTCGGAAGCGCGGGGCGAGGAAGCTGCATTTACAGATAGACATCGGGAATCAGGATCACCCAGAGAGCGTTTCCAGGACAGAGCCGAGAGCTCCAGTGATTTCCCTGGCTTGCCACCGAGTCATTTAAGAAGTGAAATGTGCCAACCGGGCCGGGTACGCGGCCAGCCGGAGCCCACCCAGCGGTCTCTAGGGCTGCAAATGGCTGGGGAGCATCTCTGCGGATAGCGCCCTCGCAAGGGGGTCTTGCAGGTTCCCCCACGTCGTGCTCTCTGCCAACCTCACACCTGAACGGGTGCCAGGAACACAGCCAGGAGGCTCCGGGAGGTATGCGCCTCTGTGGACACACGGTCAACTCCGCTCTGGAAGCGCGAGGAGGGAGGCCAAGAGGCAGAATGTGGGGCACCAGGAGCAGGACATCCCGAAATAAGGCGCCCGCAAGGGCTTTGGGGGCTCGAGTTCCCGGCACCCCTGCAGGGCTTCTGTTCACGCTACGCTTGCACTGGAAGCGCTTGCAATCGGAGCCGAGATTGCGAGACCCGCGAGTAGCAGGGATGAAGGCGCAGGGGACCGCCTCCGGCCCTTTGGCGCACGGCTAGACTGCAGTGTGCCCTATTCCCGCCCACCTTCCCCAGTTACAAAGCCAGGGGATCGCAGTTCCCCGGAGGCCGCGGAAGGTGACCAAGAAAGTCGGGGGCGGGGAGGGGGGGTGAGGCTGAACCTGCGATCGCGGCGAGCGGGGAACTGCAGCTCCGGGTTCCCTGCAAGGCCTCCCGCCAGCCGCCCGCACCTACCTCGATCCACTGCTGCGCCTCGGTGAAGGCGGGCTCCGGGGGCGGCTCGGGCTGAAGGGGCTGAAGGGCTTCCAGACCTAGAGCCGGGCAAGCCATCTGCGGAGCCCGGCGAGCACTGGAGCGCTGGGCTGCCGGGACTAGCACCGCCGCCGCAGGAGCGCGCTCCCCACCCCTTCCCGCCTGCCGGCTGCGCTCGCCTGGCCTTCCCCGCCCCCGCCGCGCGCAGGTCCCCGAGGACAGCGACGCGCACTGCCTAGGACGCCGCGGCTTACCGCTGCCGGTGCAGCCCCGGCCGGCCGCGCAGAGGAGCCCCCTCTCCTCCCACCTTCCTCCGCCGCTCCGCCCCCCACCCCAGCTAAAAATAACCCCTGGGAGAGCCGGGTGTCCCTCCCCGCTCACGTTGGGACCGGGGGAGGAACTCGGCTGGCCACCCCTCACGTCCGGGTCACAGGCCAGCAATCCAGGGGCGGGCGGATTGGGCCGCACCTGGGAGACGCGCGGAGCCGGGCGCTCAGGTCGCCGGGGAACAGCGCTGCGGCAGTGGGGTAGGAGTCTGCGCCTGCACCTGCCACCACCCTCTCAGCCACAAACCTGGGGGCAGAGCCGTAGCATCTCGACCCTGCACCCAGAAGAGCTCGGATGGACCCCCACCTGATGTTTCTGTAAGCAGGGAAGGGGACTCCAGGCAACCTACGTGGGCCCTAGTCTGTAGATTGATCCGGGCAATTATTCAGCACCCACTGTTTACCAGCCACTGATCTAGGCGCTAGGGACTGATGGACTGATAGAAGTTAAAAAAAAAAAAAAAAAGGAAAACAACTCAGAGCCCTTTCTCTCAAGATATTCACATTTGGGCTGGAGATGTAGCTCAGTTAACCCACTGAGCATGTACCAGACCCTAAGTTTGATTCCAGAACGGCATAAAACCAGGCATGGTGGTACATGCCCGCAATCCCAGCACTGGGGAAGTGGAGGCAGGACGTTGGTAGTTCTAAGTCATGTAGCTACATAGTGAGCTTAAAGCCAACCTGGGCTGTGTGAGACCCTTTCTCAAAGAAAAAAAAAAAAAAAACATTATTTGGGGAGGGGGCAGACAATAAACATGTAAATCAACAGATGGTTATAGAACATGAATGTCTGCTAAGATCAAAGGAGATTAACTGAGTTGGGAAGAGAAAATGCTGGCTAATTTTTGATAGCCTGTCCACCTTTGTCATGAGATGCCTGCTTCAGGCAGGCTTGCTGTCAGAGGCCTAGAGGAGAATTTATTCTCATGCCTCCCTGGGGCCCTGGAATTGACACTATCACTCTGTCAAATGCCACAGCTGTCTCCCATCCCCTACAGCTATTTTTCTTAGGTTCCTGTCTTCTTTAATCTCATGCCCCCTCCAGGAGTGGTAAAAGCCTCTTGGTGACATTTGACTTACCTCTTGCCCATGTCCTTCTTAAAGCTCCTTAAGTCTTGCTCAGTCACCTCCACCTGATCATTCCCCTTGTTGCCCATAAGGGCCCCAGTGACACATTCGTGCAGGTTTTCCAAAGAGATGGCATGATGAGGTAACGTGGCTGGGACATTCTGGGGGAAATACTGGCATATGGTGCCCAGGCCTTGGGGTGGAAATGAACTTGGTGAGGGTAGAAGAACCCACAGAGGACCTTGGCGACTGCAGTGTAGTGAGGAAAGAACCAAGAGGGGACCCTAACAGGGGAAAGGTTGGGACTGGGGCACACTGTAGCACAGGCTCTTACATGGATAGCCACTGTGGGTCACTGAAGAACTCCAGTCTCAGGAAGCCCGGCACTGGGCACATGGTAGCTCAGTGCTCTTAGAAGCCTAAAAGCAAATGGATTCATCTCTTTAGGATGGCTTCTGGCAAGAGGTGATTGGTGTGGCTGGAGGAGGGTGGATGCCTCTTCAACTAGATCTCTGTCTTCTCTTCACAGTCAGAGTTTAATTTTGGCCCAATTCTACCACAATAACTAGGAGATAGAACCAACCCTAAACAGGCCTAAAATTGTGCTATCCCCATTTAGGAGCCAGGTGGTCTATACTTTATGTATTTTGAAAACACTTATAAAGCACTTGAGTGGTGCCAGGCACTGTTCTAAGTGCAACATGAACAGTTGATCAGCCCAATCCTTATTCTAGGCCTGTAAGATAGGACTGCCTTCATCCTTCTGAGAAAGCCATCATGCCAAAGGGAAGCTAGGACATGAGCCCAGACTGCCCGGACCTACGTCTGCTATAACAGCATGCCCAGCTGCCTTTCCACTCCTGTTCAGACCACTGTTTCCCTTTATGCCTTGGTTTCTTCATCTCAAGTGAGGCCGAAAGCCACTGGTCAGCATCAGGGGGATGAGCAAACATGGTGACTGAATGTGAAAGGACAGAAACTACCCTAGTCCGTGGCTAGTGAGTGCTCAGTACAGGTCACCTGACCATCCCTTGCATCCTGCAGTCCAAAAAGGAGGGAAAGGAAAATATTCAAGGCAGAGATCTTAAAGAGGGCCAGTGGAGGGAAAGGGCTAAGGAAATGTAGTCCAAAGAGGATCTTGTCTCCAGGAAGAAAAACATCAAGGTAAATATAAGGGCTCATAACATGACGTCTGTATACTGACACTGAACTATCACCATGGACCTCAATGCATAGAAAAAGTAGGACAAATGGGAAGCAGCTGATCTAAACGCCATATCTGAATCTGTGTGAAAATGAGTGTTCAGACTGTTAACCAAGCCAGGCATGGTAGTCCACACCCTAATTCCAGGCCTCAGGAGGCTGAGGCAGGGGAATTGCAAGTTTAAGAACAGCCTGGGCTACATAGTGAATTCAAAGCCAGCCTGAACTACATAGCAAGCCCCTACCCAAGAAAAACAAAGGGTTAGGGATGCAGTTCAGTAGTAGAGTGTTTATGTAGCATGCCCACCCTGGGTTTAATAATTAATTAATTAATTAATTAATAGGTTGGGAGTATAGCTCATTAGTAGAGCATATGGTTAACGTGTCCAAGGCCTTAGGTTAATCCCAGCATCAGACAGATAGATGATAGATAGATAGATAGATAGATAGATAGATAGATAGTCTCTTAGATTATGGCTTCTTAGAATAATTTTAAGGTTCATCCCTGCAGTGTTATAGCATAAATCAAAATCTTGTTCTATTTCTGCTGTTCTTTTGTTGTTGTTGTTGTTGTTGTTGTTGTTGTTGTTGTT